AGGGGGGGGCAGAGGAGAGAAAAGTAGGGAAAGGAGAGATTGAGGGATGGAGTGGGGTAGAGGAGAAGAGGTGGGGAGAGAAAGAGAGACAGACAGACAGACAGACAGACAGACAGACAGACAGACAGACAGACAGACAGACAGACAGACAGACAGACAGACAGACAGAGAGAGGGGGAGGGGGAGGGAGGTGTGGCGAGAGAGCTAGATGGGGGAGTGAAAGGGGGGGCGGGTGAGAGAAAGAGTGAGAAAGAGAACAGTTCTGTTCACCATTTACACTCCAATATTTGTCAAATTGTTGACGTATGACTTAAAGTACCATTAATCGTATGCTGACGGTACATACATTTATGGCTGAACAACATCTACCAACCTAGATGAACTTTTCCATAGTGCTGAAAATTGTTTTGTCGAAGTGAAAAAAAAATGGATGAGAAATAACAACTTGGTGTTGAACGGCAATATAACAGGAAATAACAGGAGTTTTTCTGACAGACAGTGCAAAGTCTTTTAATGAGGTTGACAATGATCACAAGAAAATTGGTAGTGCGGAAACTGCATTTTCAAGAAAAGTTAAAAACCTAGGCATCTATTTTTATTCCAGTTTGTCAATGTTGGCAGAGGTTAATCATTTGATCAGCTGCAAGTACATGTAATTAGATACGTTTTTTTAAATACCCAGCTTACCAATACTAACTACACTGCTTTATTGGTAAATATCTTAATTGTGCGCTCGTCTCCGAAGCGGATAGTCCGGTTTCGAGCCTCGATTCGAACACGGGTTTCTTTCGCCCCCTCCTGCCCACCAAGCAGTAATGGATACCTAAAATCGAGTTGGGGAAGAAAAGGCGGCGTGGAAAGGAACTGGCCACCCTACCACAGTATGCTGAAGGCCCAGGAAGTTGTCTCTCTATACAAGGCAATCCTCAATGTCCGGGTCGGATACGGGAACAACTTTTATCTTAATTGTAACAAGCCTTGATTATTGCTATTTCTTTCCCCCAGGAATATCAGAAAATGAAAAGTTGTTACATTATTTGTATTTTTATTATATTTTTATAAGAGAGAGAAGGGGGGAGAAAGAGAGAGAGAGAGAGACAGAGAGACAGAGAGAGACAGAGAGAGAGAGAGAGAGAGAGAGAGAGAGAGAGAGAGAGAGAGAGAGAGAGGGACAGAGCTGTTGATGAAACCATCACTTGCTTTTCTTCAACAGAGATAGGTTTCTCCGTCGTTCTGTGAGAGTAGAATAAGAAAAGGATTCCACCTGCACACAAGAGAGGATGTCTGCCATACCAGATGAGAAGAAAGTTGTGTACCCTTTTCTGGGTCGGTCCGGAATTCGTGTGTCCAATTTGTGCCTAGGAACTTTGACTTTTGGAGAAAATAAGGTTAGTCGTTTCGTCAATTTGTAAGTGCAAAGCCAGCCAGGTCTATGTGTCCTACAAAAGTGCTTGGGGTCAGTACTGTAGTTGACCTTACGACTTGCATTTAGTTGTTTTTTTCCTCAAAGAAGTTTTCTCCCTTACTTTTTCTCTCTACTGTCATACACAGGTCACACACACGTTCACCCTCCCATTGTCACACGGGGACATCAAATAATATGCACTATGTACACACACATACATTCTCACAAGCACTTTCCCAGGCATATATATTTTAAAAAAAATTAATAACACATTCTCAATTCCACAAGTTGTTGTTCTATAACAACACATACATTTTAGCAAAGTTGAAAATGCCTCACACTGAACTTCCTTTCGTGTTTCTTCTCACCATTTCGTCCCTTCTGCTCTACCTTCTTCCCTTCTTTATTCTTACTTTGTTTGCTGTACGCACCACGTTTATTCTATATGGCTGTGAATGCTGAACAATCACTAAAGACAGTGAAAATGAAATAGAAGCAACAGAAATGTGGTTTCTTAGGAGAATGCTGAGAATATCTTGAAAGGAAAAGAAATCAAATGAGGTAGTACTTGCTGAAGCCTTTTAGGACTCTCACTGGTAAAAACAATTTAGGAAAGGACAAGTACAATTTTTGGGACACCTGAATAGACATGAAGGTCGTGAACATCAAGCTCTCGCTGGCAAAATTGAAGGTAAAGGAGGCAGGGGCAGGCCCAGAGCAACCTACATAGATAACCTAAACAGGTGGGTAATGTGGAAAAATCAGGGTAACGTAGCTTTTTTAAGAGCATCCGAGCGAAAGAATGAATGGAGAACCATGACCACCGATGTCTGCCAGAGATCTGGCACTTGATGATGATGATGTACCACATGCAATTGTCCCATCTTCAAAGTCGCCTATCTGTGCATTGTAGAAACTCAACCACAAATGGCATCTCACACTGTTTTCTCCTGATTGTATTACAGCAGACAACGTCGTGTCCTTGGGAGAGGCACTTTTCACGAATTTCCCATCTGGCTCGGTCCTTTGGGAGATGGACGTTGAACTCGGATGTCCGGGCTCTTTAAATAACCTATTTGTGTTGAGAGTGATGTTAAAATTGTATCATTTCACGATTTATCGCAGCATTTAGGTTTGCCCGGTCAGTGCACTGAGGAGGACTCCTTCCAGATTCTGCAGCGCTTCTCCGAGTGGGGAGGAAACTTTATCGACACTGCCAACGTTTATGGCAAAGGCAACTCAGAAGCTATCTTGGGAAAATGGCTAGAAAGGTAAGTCTGCACCTTTGTGTTGTTTAGCTAAACATATAGATACATATTGATGGTTCATTTTAAGAAGCCAAGTTATTTACAATCCAATCCTCACATCGAAAAGATTGAAACATCGAGAGATCTGCCGCCATGGGAAAGCCAAAAAAATAATTTTTTAATCCCCAAAACCAAATCGATTTTAGGAAAATGTGGCACCCTGGCATCTTGAACTGAACTGTCAATATGTATTCAAAACTTGAGATGCAATAGCAATGTGGTATACAATTTGGATTATGGTGTAGCAATTCACCACGAATACGAATTCAGTGTTGTTCATTTAAGATCCCTCAGTTGTACAAAAATCGGTCCAAAACAACAACACAAATGATAATAATATAAACGACAACCACCTGTTTGCGTGCATGCATAACATTTTATTTGAGACATTTCTCTATTATAATAACAACATTTCATTCTAAACATGTTTCTCTCTAGTCTTCCCTCTCGCCACTCCTTGTTTCTCTTTTTTACAATAGAACCACAACATTTCATTCTAAACATGTTTCTCTCTAGTCTTCCCTCTCGCCACTCCTTGTTTCAGGCAGCCGAGAGACAAGTACGTTATCGCCACTAAAGTGTTTTTCGATATGGGCTGTGAGAACAACGTGAACAACCGAGGATTGAGTCGTCGACACATCACTGACTCCGTCGTCAAGAGTCTGGAGCGGCTCCGGACAGACTACATCGACCTTTATCAGGTAGCTGGGACCGTTCAAATCCACTGTTCTGTTCTTTTTTTCTGGGTTGTTGTTTTTTGTGAGTGGTAATTTAAGTGTTTTAAGGCGCTCACAACTACACAAGGCCATATGATCGTGCGGGACACTTTAAGTATTTTTCAGTTTGGTAGCAGGAGTTAATTTGGAATTTTGCCTGGCTGAAAGCCAAATCTTACTCTTATCGACTTTAGAACCACCTAGGGATATTTAACGTGCGCAACTTGAACTCAGAACATTTTTAGCCCATATCCGAGAGGGCTATGTGTTCGATCTTACCTACCCTAAGATCAGGGGTGTGGCTGAAAGACAGCAATAAGGAGCCAATGGGGCAGCAGTAGAAAGGCAGCAGAAACGATTTGGTTCAAGAAACTAGTATGCCACATTTTTCTAAAAATCGATTTGTATTGTTGTTGTAGTTTTTGTTTTTGTTTTTGTTGTTGGTGGTGGTGGTGGTGGTGGTGATGGTGTTATTGATTTCCCATGGCCACAGACCCTTCTTCTTCACACATGTCTTCGATTTGAGGATCGGACTGTGAAAAACTTATTTACAGTCCGAGCCTCACATCGAAAAGATACAGTGTGAAGGAGAAAGATGTGGGGTACCGATCTCTTCGACAAAATTTAATCCACAGATGAAATACAATGCTATTCCTGTTGTTGCTGTTATCTTTATAGTAGTAGTAGTAGTAGTAGTAGTAGTAGTAGTAGTAGTAGTAGTAGTAGTAGTAGTAGTAGTAGTAGTAGTTGTTGTTGTTGTTGTTGTTGTTGTTGTTGTTGTTGTTGTTGTTGTTGTTGTTGTTGTTGTTGTTGTTGTAGTTGTAGTAGTAGTAGTAGTAGTAGTAGTAGTAGTAGTAGTAGTAGTAGTAGTAGTAGTAGTAGTAGTAGTAGTAGTAGCAGCATAGCAGCAGCAGCAGCAGCAGCAGCAGCAGCAGCAGTTGTAATAGTATAGCATGTTGTAAAGCGCTTAACGATTTCTGTCAAGCGGAGATATCCGTTTTACAAATCTATTTGTTATTAATACTAATAATTATTATTGTACTGGGATTCTCTACTTTCTATAGCCCCATTTATGGGACGATGGGACGCCCGTAGAAGAGATACTGAGAACCCTAGATGACCTGGTGCGCTGTGGGAAGATCCGGTACGCTGGCATGAACAACGTGACGGGCTGGCAGATGCAGAAGTTGGTGGAAACATCTCGGAGACTGGGCTTAAATCCATTAGTTAGTCTACAAGTAAGTCTCTTTCGTCGGTAAGCAGTTAAAATGTCTTCAGCCCAGAAGGCAACTGTTTTGGGATTGTTGTTTTTTTTCCATTAGAGAGAAACAACTGTTTCATTCTTTTTAACAATTGTTTTTATTTTGTGTACCCTCACTTTCTTTGTTATTCCAACATAATAAATTGAAATTTTGACAAAATATATCTCGGGCTCATGCAACCGATATATATAATATAATGTTATATATTGCTGCGATTATCACCAGAAAGTACTCCCATCACTCTTTATGGAGAACTCATTGCAGAAATTGGTAAATTCAAGCGCTTTGGCGGCATTATATCCAAAACTGCAGACTGTCCTGACGGCGTCCACCAAAGACTTAAAATCCATGTATCACGTCTGATTAATTAAAAACCATATAATGGGAGTCAAAGATGATTTCATTGAAGACGAAATTTAAAATATTATATAATAGCAATGTTTGGGCCGTATTAACGTATGGTTCAGAGATACGGAAAACAAACAAAACATTTCAACGAAAATTTGTTTAATGTTTGTGAAAAATTTTCATAATAAAATGGAATGAATTTATTACAAATAACAAAGTGTTGGAAAGAGCAGGAATTGAAGATATCAGCACGACCATAACAGGAGAAGATGGAGATATTTAGGGCATGTTCTAAGAATGCCAAAGACGAAATTACCCTATCATCCATGGTATTGGAGACCAACTGGAAAAAGAAAAAGAAGAAAACCAGCTGGGAGTTAAAGAGGAACAACAAGGGATGAGGCACTCACCCAGGGCCTGGATGTGCCGAAATTGGAAAATGTGGCCAGGGTACAGGCAAGCGTGGGGTCGACTGCTCCCCGCCTTATGTACCTGACGGAATAGGGAGAGAGTAAGAAAGCAGATACCTAATAATATTCTTTATCGTGCAGCTACACTACACTTGGTCATTCTTACAAGCAATATAGAAGCGGATGGTTGGTTTACCGGTGCTCTAGTGTTTGTTTGCTTCCTCTTTCCTATCAAACATCTATCGCCCAGATCTCTTCTCCTCCTTTTTGTGTTTGCTACTCTTTTGATCTTGTAACACCAATAATCTTCGGCACTTTGCTACACTAGAATTCCAAAGCTCTATCTGCTCAGTACCTAATGTTGAGAAGCTTGAAGTTAAAATTTCTTAGTTTCTCAAAATGTCTAGCTTTTTCGAATGCTATTTTTTAATACTTTGATAAAGAATCTGAAATAATCTTACAATTTTGAAAGAACAGATTGAACATTTCGTTTCATACCTCATGGTCTTAGTAACTCAAACCGGCCCAAAAAGTCAGATAAAACTTTATAATTCTAAGGTAGCGACTTTCATGACCTTATTGTGTTCCAAGTGCCGTAAAACTAATAAGCTTATTACGATTTTTTCTTTGTGCAGCAACAATACAATCTGGCGTGCCGAGAGTCGGAGTATGAGGCGTTCCAAGTGTGTAAAGCTGAGGGGATTGCTGTGATGCCCTGGAGTCCTCTCAAAGGGTTTGTGCTTCTTTTTTTTTACCATCTGATCTCTATGTCTTGAAAGCAGATATATGGGTGTATGTGTGTGTGTGTTTGTATGTATTTGTGTGTATGTGTGTGTATGTGTGTGTATGTGTGTGTATGTGTGTGTGTATTTTTATATGTGTGTATGTGTGTATCTATATGTGTTTGTATGTGTGTAAGTGTGTATGCATGCGCGCGCGCGCGCGCGTGTGTGTCTGTCTCTCTCTCTCTCTGTGTGTGTGTGTGTGTGTGTGTGTGTGTGTGTATGTATGCCAGTGTGTGAGTCAGTCTTTATAAATTTCCATGAGTGTGTGTGTGTGTGTGCGTGCGTGCGTGCGTGCGTGCGTGCGTGTGTGCATGCGTGCGTGTGTGTGTGTGTGTGTGTGTGTGTGTATGTGTGTGTATGTGTGTGCTTGTGTGTGCTTGTGTGACCGTACGCTCATCCACATTCACTTTTATAAGACATAGCTTACGTTTATAGAGTCTACTGCCTAGATAAGAGAGTTAATGGGAGCAAAGTTATCTCTAGGTAAGCTCTGAAAAGAAATATGATTCTATTGAAGATTTCATTTTAAAAAGTTGTTAAGTTTGACTTGTCCAATTCTGGTCTAGCTTTTGGCAGTAGCTTCGACAATACGCCCTGACCGGTACGTACTTAAAATACCTCACATGTGGGTGATTGGCAGGTGCTCTAGTGTAGTTCGCTCCTTATTTTCTATCATACAATTTATGTCGTCCTTACCTCTCCTCCTCCTTTTTGTGTTTATTACTCTCTTATAAGACATCTAATTTTCGGCACTAATATGACCTTATTGTGTTGCAAGTGCAGTAAAACCCTTACTGAAACTTGACTAAACATTGCAGATTGAGCAGTACTGAAGACCTTCTGGGATGTTTCATCCTGGACCGTTTCAAAATCTTTCAATTTTTATCCAAGTAGTTGCCAATTCCGTACTGTTGACTGTTACTTTTGTTTCTGGATTGTATGCTTGTAGTTATGTCTTCTGCACACGTATTTCCGTTCCTTGATCTTGGTTAATCCGTAACAAAATAACATCAAAATGCTGCTGTCGTTTGGTTTATGTTGGTTCACCATTATATGTTTGTTTTTTCTTGATGCTACAATGATATTTCTGTTTTCTCTCTTGATGTGAAAAAAGGCATCCTGTGTTTATAGATAAGTTTATCTTTGATACTTTCATGATAATTTATTCCATTTGCTATTATGTCTGTTTCAGAGGTCTTTTCTCAGGGAAAATAAAGAGGAACTCTGTACCAACTGAAGGTCGTTTGGGTTGGGTGGCCGAAAAAGAAGAGGGAAGGCAAAGTCAGGCTCTCCCAGGCTATTCATCCTTCGATGAGACTATCTTCAAAACATTGGATGTGGTAGAAGCTATCGCCAAGAAACACAGTAAGCTTGTTCAGTTTTTCACTTATGCTTTAAGACCACAAGGGGGTCTTAGCCAATTCGATACCTTAGAATTACATCATTCTATCTGCTCAGCACCTAGTTTAAAGAAATTTGACGTGAAAATTTTAAGTTTCTTAACATGTCAAGCTTTTTCGAATACAATTCTTTAAATGTCTTGATAACGAGTCCCAATAATCTTACGATTTTGATAGAGCAGATCTAAAAACATTAATTGGTTTATGACTTCATGGTCTTAGTAACTCAAAATGACCAAAAATGTCAGATAGAACTTTGTAATTCTGAGATAGACATATGTACGCTTTGTTGAGAGACTGTCTACGTCGGAGGAAGTGAAGAAAATGTGTCATAAATGTCGAATTCCGATTTTTGTATTATTGAAGTGAATGATTTGTGATTCGAGATGCCTACCATTTAAAAATGCTTTGCAGGGAATGCCCTTCATATAAACTGTTGATAGGAACTTTTTTAAAAACTTTACTTAAAAAGCGGTTATCACTTTATGTACTTCAGCGTAAACAAAGTCTACTTCAGCCAATCAGCTACCATTTTTTCTTTTCGCATCTTTCAAGGATTTAAAAAAATACCAGATTTTTAGAGGTTCTGTGAACATTAGTTGAGCGGGTAATTTTTACTTAACAATTTAGTTCCACTGTTAGAAACACCCAGTCCTCCTTCATTTACATAATGCACACAGGTGAAAATTGAAGCATACCCGCAAACAATCACACACACACACACACACACACACACACACACACACACACACACACACAC